TTGGTATTTGTATGATTTCAAATTTTACGCACATTCTCTTCATCCTCATAATCAATCCTACAAAAAAAAAACAATTTGCACTCTAGAAATGGTCAAAATTAGTACCCATCCAACAATGAATCTCGACCATTCTTTTGGTGAATTTCAAAATCTAGGCCTTAACAAAATCAAAATAATTTTTTGCTTTTTTAGCATTATTAATCTAATGATGATAATGCTATATAAAAATTTTAGGAAATAAAAAAATCGTTTGAGATCTATATCTAACGATCTCAAAAAAATAGACGGCTTATATTAATTGGGCCAGAATGAAAACTTTCTAGAGCATTTTTTCAAAATTTTCCTTTTTGTGATTGTTCTTAAAAATGAAGAGTACATTTAAAAATTTGTGTCAAACAAATGTATCTAACATGGTTTTTTAAGATGGTTGCATTATACTACTATACAACTGTTGCATGAAATCGTTCTCTCTCTCTATATATAAATGTATATATATTGAAGAAACTTTGGGTTGGGTGGTTAGAGGTGGAGAGATGAAGAAGGGGTAGAGAGATCGGTTTCTGTAGGTTATGGTTTGGGAATGCTTTTTGGATGGAAATGGGCACTGAATAAATAATATAATTAAAATAGTAATTTGGATAGTGAAAACGTGAGCGAGAAGGTCTAGTGTTCTATTATTATTATCATTATTTATTTATTTATTTATTTATTCCAAGGAGAAGGTGTGGTGAATTGGTTTTTTATAACCCGGGGTGTATGCGAGTTGAAAGCCCGCCAAAAGAGATGAGCTTCCATTTCCCTATGGTAAAAGTGTAGGAAAAAAAATTTGTACTCTAGATATGGTCAAAACTAGTACCCATCCAATAATGAATCTCGACCATTCTTTTGGTGAATTTCAAAATCTAGGCCTTAACAAAATCAAAATCAGTTTTTGCTTTTTTAGCATTATTAATCTAATGATGATAACGTTATATAAAAATTTTGGGAATAAAAAAAATCGTTTTGAGATCTATATCTAACCATCTCAAAAAAATAGACGGCTTATATTAATTGGGCTAGAATGAAAACTTTCTAGAGCATTTTTTCAAAATTTTCTTTTTTGTA